CCTCGGCAAGGTCAAACCCTCGAGCATGGATTTCCTCAAGAGTCTCCCTCTGGGCTTAGCACTTAGCCAATTCATTACCGTGTCTTGCCCGGTCGTAGGCCTCCCTCAACTCAGCTTGAACGGCCGCGTCTTCTCTCATGTATATAGCAATGGATTTATTAGCCGCAATCTTCGTCTTCTCAGCTTCGGCCTTAGCTTGTGCAGCTTAAGCCTTAGCCTGTGCAGCTTCAGTCTGGGCTTTAGCCAGTTTGGCCTCCAGCTTCTCGATTTCCCTAGACTGAGCCAAGCCCTTCGCTTCAGCACCTCGGAGTTGAGCTTCAGCCGTGGTCAGTTTAGACTTAACAGCTTCCTTTTCGGCAGCAAGTCGATCCATGTTCTGCTTCTACTAATGGCAATCAGCCCGAACTCGATCCACCTCGCCCCGAAGTCGCCTAATCATGTTCAACTTTTGCTGCAGCTGAGTTATAGAAGTATTGGCCTCCGAAGCAGGGCCAATAATGCCGAACTTTGTTAGAATCAAAGTTACCTGCTCATCCAGCTCAGACTTGCTTTTTTGAGCTTTGGCCAAAGCGGTTCGGAGGTCCTTAAGATCCTCTTCCTTCCGGCTACAGAGGAGCCTCAAGGCTTTCTCTTTGCCCGAAACTCTTTTGAGTTCGACCTCACATTGGCTCATCTCATCCCTGAACCTTGCAATGGCCTATACATGAAATAAAGAAACATCAGTCGAATTAGAAGAAATAAAAAATTACAATGTTAAAAGTAAGTACGTACCCGAATAAGGAGTCGCTGAGCCTCTTAAAAAATGGAGGATGCATCGTGGAGGTCATCGGTATCCTCGATCCCACTATAGAAAGCCTGAACGGGATTGTCCTCAATGACCTTATTCGGGTCGGGCATATGCAAAGCGTTGGTTTCCTCGATTTCCCCCCTCCCCCCCCCCCCCAGAATAAGTTGACAGTGAAAGGGAGTGACCTATTGTCGCGGCCCCGAGCTCTTCACTCGGGGCGTTCTCATTAGCATTGGAGGATTCAACGTTTACCCCTCCAATATAGCAGCTGAAGATGGAGGGACAATCTCAACATCCGGGGACATAAGGACCTTGCCCGTTTCTTCTCTCCGAGCAGCCTCGCCACGGGATGGATTTTCTAGTTCGGAAGGCTCGATGTCGTCGACTGTCTTCCTGGTCCGAGTCACCAGCACCGATTCTTCATTATCATTCTCCTCACCATCCGGGGAGTCATGGGCTGAGTCTGTGCCCGTTTGAGCAAACCTTTTTCGTAGCCTTCGAGTGGAGGTTTTCTTGTCTTGAGGGTCTTCGGGGTTCAAGACCCTTTTTCTTTTGTTGTCCTTCTCGAGCTTTGGATTTGAAGACTTGGTTTTTTCCCCAGGCGAGTCCGACCTCATCTCGGATGCATCTCCAAGGCCTGCATAGACAAGTGTGAGTAAGTAAAAGCGCCACCAAAATGTATGAAAAATGTTGAAACTATAGAAAGGCACTTACCGTGGTTCTTGGACTCCCACTGGCCCTTTGCCAATTCACGCCACTTACGCTTGTCGTAGGAAGGAGTGGCAGCTAATTTTCTAACCCAATCCTCGAGGTCAGGCACCACTAGGGGTGCCCAAGCATCAGCTTCCAAAAGAAAGATAAGAGAGTTATGGAAAATCAAAGAACATGAATAGATACAAAAAATACGGACTCCACTTACGGTTAAAGTTCCACCTCTCCGGGAACAACATTTTTTCCCGGGGATGATGTCCGAAGTGCTGACTCTAACAAATCGGCTCATCCAACCCCGATCTTTGGTTTCATCGGTGCTGGCGAAGAAGGACTTCGTGGTTCGACGCTGCAGCTTGATGAGCCCTCAGAATAACTGGGACCAATACAACCGGACTAGGTGGTTGAGGGTGAATTCCAAACCCTCGGCCTTCTCGTAGAAATATCGCAGCATGATCACGATACGCCAGAACAAAGGGTGAATTTGACCGAGGGTGACTTTGTATGTCTTGCAGAAGCCGATCACCACCGGATCGAGGGGCCCAGTGTGAAGGGGCAAGTGTAAACACTCAAAAATCCCTCCTTGTGGGTAGTTATGCTTTCGTCAGGCCTCGGGATCTGAACCTCGACCTCGTCTCCCCACCGACAGTCCTCCTTTACTTCCTTGATGAGCTTCTTAGTTATCAGGCTAATGTATCGGGATACGTGCTCGCATCAGCCCTCGACATCTCGAGGATTCTCGACACTGAAGTCCTTCTAGACGATGCAATCACCAGGGGTGATTTCTTCAAGTGTTGGCGGCACCACCGGTTTGGCCGGCCGGGAGGTAGAGGAAGATGATGCTTTCTCTTTTTTAGGGACCGTCTTAGAAGTTTTAGCCATGGTTGTAAGCTAAGGAATGCGGGTGCACAGGGATGTAGTGTTTCCGGCAAGAGTGTTTTCCGGTGTTGAAAGAGGCGGAGGAAGTGAGTGATTGAAGAAAGAGATGAGGATTGGAAAATACTAAAGAAAGGGTAAAGTTATTTACTAAGGGAAAACGCCTCATATTTATAGAGGGGCAGCGACGGTTCGGTGGCATTAATGGCCGACCAACACTGGCGTGCATTTAATGTTTTTGGGGAAGTGGGCCGATGGGATATCTCGATCACTTCGAATGCTGGCATCACGAGGACGACATCATCACTAGAGGTTCGGGAAAATCGAGGTTCAAATCATTTCATATCATTCCATTATAAGAAACACGGGGACTATCTATATACGGCCAAAATCGAGGAGCATGATTTTGAAGTCTTAAATCGAGCTATCGGTCCGAGTCCGGGAGACTCGAAGTAGAGATCAGATCTGGCTAAGGGGAACATACCTCGAGGAGGTTGATCGAAGGCCTGACACGGCCTACATCGAGGGCAGCACAATCTCGAAGTCAATCAAGAAAGAGCGGAAATTTCTCAAGGACATGTGGACCAGGGCATTAATTAAAGGATAAGATTTGTACGAAATGGTACATGTCCGTACTAGGTCGTTATACACCTGCCAGTAGAATTCTTTACCACAATGAGGAATGTACTATATTGGGGTTTTCTCCTCCTATATAAAGGGGACCTCAATCATATTGTAAGGGATCTCACATTATTGACTGCAATAGAACATTCTATTCTACCCTTGTTTAACGTGCTCAACAATTATCTTCAGCTATATTGCCTTTACTTTACTGTTCATACTTTATTGTTCTTAGCTGACCTTGAGGTACCTGGGATAACCAAGCTCGAGGCCCCTATTACTTCAACAATATTAATTTGGTTCATGATTTCTTCTTACTTAAGCTTAATATTACTTGTATAATCACTAGTATTAGAATATATCACATATCTTTAAAACCACAAATTATCTTTAATTGTTACTCACATTTTTCGAGGCAAACAGTACTAGTCCATAAATACCGATTATTTTAGCTCGGGCCGTATTTTATCCCAAAATGTCATACTTCGACGAAATTCTTTTTCTTCAATTTGCTTACCTTCTCACCTTCACGGATTGACTCATTACTTGTTTGAAATAGCATAAAATGCTTATAATCTTAAAGTAATCTCATTCCCGAACTTATGTCGATTAACTTACGATGAAACTTTCACGTACGAAAAATACGGGATGTAATATCTCATTTCTGAGCTTTCACCAATTTGCTTATGGCATACTTTTACGTACGAAAATATGGGTGTAACAATCAAGCATCACATCTCACAAAGCACTTCCCTTCTAAATTAGCAACACTATACAATTTTATGTCACTAGGGCATTTCAACAAATATATTGTGGGAATATCTTGCACCATCTTATTTCAATTCAAAGTGGATTAGAATCACCATACAACCATATCAAATACACCACTCACCACAACCACAACATCACCACATCTTCACAATAGCACCAAGTGCACAAATATTACTCAAAACTTTACTAATTTTCGGCCACATGGGACCCCCACCAAGATTCATCATAAATTAATTCCACACCATCAAAACACACCAAAAATCACCCATAATCATAAGAACAATGAAAACCTCACAAGTTAAGCACCATTTTCGACCATAGTAAGCAAATAAACTAAAAAAAAATCAGCACAACTACAACTACCTAGGGTTTGGTTCAAATTACACTAAAATTAACTAAACAAATAAGAAAATCTAAGAGAAATAGAAAAGAAGAAATAGAGTTACTTACCTTGATGATGAATGAAGATGAGAGGGGAATGAAAGGATGAAGGATTTGAGGAAGAATAATGGAGGGAAAAAAAGAGATTTGGAGTTAGAGAGAGAGGAGAGAAAGAATAGAGTAAGAGAGATGTGGGAAAAATGGGCGAAGTGAGAGAGAGAGAGAGAGGAGAGAAAGAATAGAGTAAGAGAGATGTGGGAATAAGGGGCGGGTCGGGGGTATTAGAGTCTCCAATTAAAAAAATATTAATTTTTATTTTATTTTTAAATTTGCACTGTCGCATAGCTGGGTGCGGCGCCCCATGCGGCGCGGTAGTGGGATTTTCTAGAGAGTCATCTCTGACAGGTTTTGCTCGTTTGACCTAGCACGGTGCCCCACGTAGTGCCCATGCGGCGCGGTTGGCCACTTTTCTCAAAGCCCCAATTTGTTTTCACTTTTTAACCTACGGGTCGCACCCCGACTCTATTTTGTACTTTTTTTGTGTTCGATTCTTTCTCATACCTGTTCAAACAATTATCAAAACTCCTAAACTCTAATAATCCTAAACTAACATTATCTAACTAGTCTACAAAAGCAATAAAAAGGGTTAGAAGCAGTTCTGAGTTCTAGTCGTCAGCTTGACTCCGTCACTTAGGCTCATTTGATCACGATGCTAGAGGATTGCTTGTCAAACCCTCCAACAATATATTGTTTCAACCTGTGCCCATTCACCTTAAAACTTTCATCCCTTCTTCATCTTGTATTTCAATGGCGCCATACGGTGAGACATGTTTCACCAGATACGGACTTGTCCATCTTAAATGGACTTTCCGAGAAACAACCTAAGTCTACTATTGTATAGTAAGACTCTGTCCCTTTCATGAAACTCCATCGGCTTAATCAGATGATCATGCCATCTCTTTGTCTTCTCCTTAAAAATTTGCATATTTTCATACGCGTCCTGTCTAAACTCCTCCAATTCGTTCATCTGCGCCAACCTATGTACACCTGCAAGACTAAGATCAAGATTAATCATCTTAATTGCCCAATAAGCTTTATGTTCTATCTCAACAGGTAGATGACATAATTTCCATATACTAATTTGAATGGTGAAGTCCCTATGGTTGTTTTGAACGCAGTTCTGTACGCCCATAGAGATTCATCCAACTTTACATACCAATACTTACGAGAAGCACTAATCGTCTTTTCAAGAATTAGTTTAAGTTCACGGTTAGCCACTTCAACTTGCCCACTAGTTTGGGCATGGTAGGGGGTTCCTGTTCTGTTTGTGACACCATACTTGGACAACAATGCAGCAAACTGCTTGTTCACAAAGTGCGACCCATTGTCACTGATAATCACCTCAAGGTGTCCCAAAGCGGGTAAAGATGTTCTTCTGTAAGAACTCACACACCACCCGAGCATCATTGGTCCTGGTAGGGATTGCTTCAACCCATTTAGAGACACAGGCAACGACTACTAGAATATACTCATATGAATAAGACAATGGGAACGGACCCATGAAGTCAATGCCCCAAACGTCAAAAATTTCACATACCAGAATGGAGTTTAGTGGCATCTCATCCCTCTTGCTAATGTTACCTGCCCTTTGACACTTGTCACATGTAGCTACATACGCCCATGCGTCTTTGTACAAAGTAGGCCAACAGAAATCGGCTTCCATGACCTTTGTTGCAATGCAATTTCCACCATAGTGTCCTCCAGCCGCTCCATCATGGAATGAGAAAGAATGCTTGCCATCTCTCCTTCAGGCACACACCTTCGAATCACACCATCTGCATGCAGTTTAAACAAGAAAGGGTCATTCCAAAAATAACTTTTTACCTCACCTTGAAGCTTCCTTCTTTGATCACGAGAGAGGTCACGCGACAACCATCTACTAGCCAAAAAGTTGGCTACATCAGCATACCAAGGCGGTCTTTCGAGGACAACATCAATAGAGAAAATATGCTCATCAGGGAACTCTTCCCTTACATCAATTGTTTCAACTAGAGGTCTCTTAAGTCGAGATAGATGATCAACGACTTGATTTCTCGTGCCCAAAGTCAAACTCTTAAAGCAATAACACCCACCGCATCAGATGTGGCTTGGACTCCTTCTTACTCAACAGGTATTTCAAGGCTGACTGATAAGTGTGTACAATCACTTTACTCCCCACCAGGTATGATCTAAACCTGTCAAAAGCAAAGACCACAGCAAAGAACTCTTTCTTAGTAGTGGCATAATTGACTTGAGCATCATTCAACTTCCTGCTTGCATAGTAAATGGGCCTAAACATCTTATCTTTTCTTTGCCCAAAACTGCTCCCACAACTACATCACTAGCATCACACATTATCTCAAATGGCTGGCTCCAATTAGGTGTCACCGTAATAGGAGCTCTCACAAGCTTTTCCTTTATCAATCGAATGCTCTTAATCACTCCACGGTGAAAACAAACTTGACATCTTTTGCTAGCAATACAGTCAACGGCTTGGTTGCTGGAGAAGTTTTTGATGAACCCCCTATAGAACCCAACATGTCCCAAGAAACTCCTTATGCTTTTCATAGAAGTTGGTGGATGGATCCTAGCAATTACATCAACCTTGGCTCTGTCAACTTCAATTCCTTGTGGAGTTACTTTGTGGCCTAGGACAATTCCCTCTTTTACCATGAAGCGGCACTTCTCCTAGTTAAGAACCAAGTGAGTGGCTTCACAATTTTCAAGCACGAGCTCATAATTCTTCAAGCAATCCTCAAAGTCATCACCAAAGAGGGTGAAATCATCCATGAATACTTCTAGACACTTCCCACTCAAATCGGATAATATAGACATCATACACCTCTGAAAAGTGGCAAGTGCATTACACAACCCAAACGACATCCTCCTATAAGTAAAAATACCTGACGGGCAAGTGATGTGGTCTTCTCAACATCTTCTGGGGCAATGCGTAACTGATTGTAGCACGAGTACCCATCCAAGAAGCAGTATCATCCATGTCCAGCCACTTTCTCGAGCATTTGATCAATGAAGGAAAGTGGGAAGTGGTCTTTTCTTGTTGCATCATCCAGCCTCCTATAATCAATGCACATTCTCCACCTAGTGGTTGTTCTTGTAGGGATCAATTCGTTGTCTTGATTCTTCACCACTGTCATGCCCCCTTCTTAGACATAACTTGCACTGGACTAATCAATTGGCTATTAGAAATGGGGAAAATCACTCCCGCATCTAGAAATTTGATGATCTCCTTGTGCACTACCTCCTCCAAATTTTTGTTCAGCTTGCGTTGGGGTTGTACCACTGGCTTGCTATTTTCTTCTAACAGATTTTGTTCATGCAAATAGCTGGACCGATTCGCTGAATATCAGCTATACTCCAGCCAATGGCGTTCTTGTGCTTTTTCAGCAGCTCCACCAATGGCCTTCTTGTGCTTTTTCAGCAGCTCCAATCTTCCGTAGGTCAAAAGTCCCCTAAAATCATTTTTTTGGTGTATTTATACCATGTAGAAATCAACCCGGACGAACCTACCCTTTTTCTTGTCAAAGTAGGAAACAACTCTATAAAATTTGTACAGTTGCGCCGCCCCATGCGGCGCGCTTGTGGGGAAATCCATAGAGCTTGCTAAAATCCTGTCAGACCAATTTTGATATTCCGTGCCGCACCTCGCGGCTCCCCATGCGGGGCGGTGGTGGCTTTTTCTCAAAGTAAATTTGTTTGTTCGCTTTTTGACGTTTGGACTTGGTCCTCGACCCCCGTACGTGATCCCGACTTAATTTCTTGGGCTTCTACTCAGAATTCAAAGCTCCAACTTGTTCGATTTCGCTCCAAATTACCTAAATAGCTCATAATCATTTCCCACAAGGCATAAAATATGTAATAAGTATAATTCACTATCATTTAAGCTCAAACATACGAAAATGCAGCAAGTAGAATGCAATACTACGGCTAAAATACCGGTTTCTAGACTACCATCATCCAACAATGTTTTGAGCTTTACTATCTCAACTTTTGCGGTTGGAAACAAAGAACATTACATGGAAATTGGATTCTTATGGGTACAAGGAATACCATGTATTAGTAACTCAAAGTTGCATTCAAAGTCTATCCCTATATAATCTTTTGTAAAAAGGTTCAGTCTATATTTAGAAATATTTTAGCAAAATAATAATAAAATATGAACTATTCACCGCTGAAATTAGAATTTCTCAATAAGGCCTAATTTACTATGTACACCATAGTGTAGACTTAATAGTCCCACCTAATCCTTTGAGCGCTTCGGTGTAGCTTTGGCTTCTTTTACTCCCTTTTATTTTCTATTTTACAAATCAATAAAGAGTTCACAGGCCGAATATAAAAATCAAACTTTGAAAACGCAATTATTAACTACATACTTTATCATATGGGTAAACTGTGTTTCGTAAATTGAGATAATGGAAGAATATTCCATAATAATTTGTCAAACACAAAGTATCAACAAAGAATCATATCTAAGCCATATGATGAATATTACCAAATTGACATGAAATAATTCTTAGCCTAATAAAGTGCACTATAAAAGCTAAAAGAAGATGTTATATGCCAATTAGTTAGAAGAAGTATATTAGACATTTCACTCAGAAGTTAGTTATACGATTAGTTGTTAGAAGTTAGTTAGAGAGAGAGTCAGTTAGTTGAGCTCATTAGCTGTGATAATAGCTATAAATACGAGATGCATTGTAAATGATGAATATGTTGAAATCAATAAAACTTTTGTCTCTTCTTAGTCTCAATTACTCTATCGTGTATTGAAGTGTATTGTTCAACGATTATTCTTTACCTAATCTCTTACATTCACTTTCAATTTTTAGACCTCCATTGTTAAGTATGCAATACTGGTATCAGAGCGGTCGAACCTTGGCCGTAAATCATGTCGGGAACAACCAGGAATGATGAATTGCGATGAGAGGTGGATGAAATTAGAGAGCAGGCTCGGCTCTTGGGTGATTGCCATGACAATGTGATCAATGAAATTCGACAAATGGTGGTAGCAATGGCGACTAATGTTCCAGCTCCGGCATTTCTAGCAGCAGCAGTCGCACCAGCTCCGGTCGATGATGGTGAAATGCATGCAACAAGTAACGGGTTCAATGGGGGTAATAAGTATTATCGTGTAAAATTTCTAAAATTTAAAGGTAAAGACTTAAAGGGGTAAGCGTACATGTGTGACCAGTTATTTGATTATGATAATACATTTGAAGAACAAAAGGTTAGAATTGCTTATATTAATTTGGAAGGAAGAGCTTTACAGTGGCATCAATCTATAATAAAATCTCGAGTGGGAAGAGGACTACTTAATTAGAGGATTATGTGAGTGATTTGTACTTGAGATTTGGGCATAATCTGTATGATGATCCCATGTCTGAATTGCTTGGGTTAAAGCAAACCAGTGGGGTTCAAGGATTTCTAGATCAATTTGATGGATTGCTTAAACAAGTAGAACCGTCTGAAGAATATTCTATCACTGTTTCTTGAAGGGATTGAATCCAGAGATAGAAGTTCATGTGAGAATGCTATCCCCAAGGACGTTGATGAAGGCTTATAGTTTGGCTAAACTAGCTGAACATTTATCACAATTAAAGAAGGGACAAAACTAGATGACCATGAGACCTTCTAAGCCTATACTCCCAAACCCTAACACTTCTTGTAACTCAGGTTCGAAAAGTTATTCTCAAGACCAATACTCTGGTAGTGAGAAGGGAACAAAATTAAGAAACTTCCTAATGCTTATGGGCGACCTATAGTGAAGTCATCAAGAAGACTTACAAGCGCAAAGATAGATGAAAAAAGGGCAAAGTGACTGTGTTTTGGTGTGATAAAAATAAATACATGGTCATGTATGCAAGAAAACTAAGCAATTGTTTATCGTAGAGGTAGAGGAAGGTGGTGAAGAAGGAGAAGTGAAGTAGTATGCGGTAGAAGATGAGACCTGTGAAGATTCAACTCTGAGTCCACAAATGTTAGTTCATGCTCTTGATGAAATTGTGGACTACAACACTGTGAGAGTTAAGGGGGTATAAGAGGAAATATGGTCTATGTGTTGATAGACTCTAGCTCAACACATAATTTTATAGACGTGGACATTGCAAAGAAAACGGGGTGCAAACTGAACACTATTCCTACTTTTTCGGTATTAGTAGCCAATGAGAGTTAGGTGCACAACTTTTTCACGAGTAAATGGGTAGCGTGGAGGATGCAAGGGGTGTTATTTAAGGCTGACATGCTGGTCATGCCACTAAGGGGTGCTGATGTGGTATTGGGCATTCAGTGGCTCACTACTCTAGGGGATATCAAATGGAATTTTAAACAGTTGAAGATGGAGTACCAAATGGGGGGCAAAAAGATCTCGTTGAGAGGTATCCAACCAGGCACATCTGTTATTGATTTGCGATAACTTGTGATGGCCTAGGGGCATTGTTATTGATAATTTTTGTGTAGTGATGTTTCTACCTTGTGTGAGTTACTCATTGTATATTTTATGGTGATTATTCATTATGTTCCATTTATTGCCTCTACTCTTACATGTTGATTTGAGTTGTGATAGAACATTTGCACAAGCATACACGTAATTAATCACCCATATCAGTTTGAGAAGATGAACCTGATGTCTATTGACCATTTACATATATTCTCGTATACTTGCCTTCTGTGTCAGAATTGTACTATTAGCATGTGAGTTATCGATGCGGTTATGAGTTATTGTTATTGTTGGCACGTAAGTTGTCCGTGCAGATATGAGATATTGTCACTCTCTTAGCACGTGAGTTGTCCGTGCAGATTATGAGGTTAATGGTATTGGCACGTGAGTTGTTTGTGCAGTTGAAATTTATAATGTGGGCACAAGATTCCAAGTGATTTGGGTTCGTGATTTGTGATGATGAGGTTTGGTACTTTGGGAAAATTCTTGAATAAAACTTGTGTGAAAGCGGTTGTTCTTATTCAATGATTATCTGCCTTTCCTTTATTTGATTTCACCGGACTTAAATTGTATTCAGCTTACTCTACAACGTGTTACCTGTTTGTTTCCCTGTTGCTATTAGTTGTCTCTAGTTTCCTATTGTGAGTATTTTTTTTGTTATTTCTACCATGCTTAGCTTTATTATTACATTGTTCCCGTAGTTTCACATTCATACATGTACAAGTTATTTGACTAATGTGTGTCTTGTCTGTACCTCGTCACTACTCCACCGAGGTTAGTCTTAATACTTACTAGGTACCACCGTGGTGTACTCATGCTATACTTTCTGCACATTTTTGTGCATATACAGGTACCTCAGAGTTGTGCTATGGAGACTCAAGGTATGCCTGTTGTCGCGTTCGCATGCCTGGGAGTCACCTTCTGAAATTTTACTTTGTACTGTTTTATTTCTACTCCAGAACAATTGTATTTAGAGATTTTCTAGTAAACTCTGTAGAGCTTATGACTTGTGCTACGGATTTTGGGATTATCGATTTTGCATAGAAACTCCTGCTTTGTAATTAAAAATAAATGGTTAAATTTTGTCATTAATTCAGTAAGTATTAGGCTTACCTAGTCCCTAAGACTAGGTGCCATCACGACATTCTATGGAGGGAAATTAGGGTCGTGACACTTTATGTAACGATCTATTTGGCATGGTAGTGTCGTTTTCTTGCTTTTCTCTCTCATGTTGTGCTTCATTATTATTAAATAATCATATTGTATTCGTTTTCCTACATTTTTATATAATAATTCTACCCCGCATCTTTTTTTCTTTTTGTAATATTACAAATTTATTCTTCATATTGTTGGTGCATGACATCATGAAATGACGGCAAACGATACAATTTATGCAAACGTTGTATTCACCAAACAGTACAATACAATGCAGTAGAATACAATACAATACATTATGAAACTGTCACGACCTAAAAATCGACCCGGTTGTAATGACGCCTATTGTGAAACTAGGCCAGCCACTTATTTCCAATTACTCTATTTTCCAATTAAAAGCTTAAGAAAACATCATATTTTAACAGAAATCCAATGATATAAAAATAGAAGTTCCAAAACCAGCGGAAAGAAAATACAAGTCCGACCTCGGGTGTCACTAGTCATGAGCAAAAAAACTACTACAACTGTTCGAAATGACAAGACTAGTACAGTCTGAAAATATCCAACATATAAACTAGAGGAAGATAGGGAAGGAGAAGGCGGAACTGCGGTCGCCAAGTAGCTACCTCGCAATCTTCAAGTGAAAGTCCGCATAATATAATCAACAACCGCTACCGTGACCCGAGACACCTGGATCTGCACACAAGGTGTAGGGGGTAACGTGAGTACACCAACTCAGTAAGTAACAAGTCCAACCTATGGACTGACAAGTAGTGACGGACCAAACCTCAACAGGTAATAACATATATCGGAACAGGAAATATAGACATGCTTGCAGTTCAAGTAAAGTTCAACAGTATTTAAAATGCAACTGAACAGTACAAAGTTCAAAACTCAGAGATTTTACATATACCAATGCACAACTAGCATGATCAATGTTCCATGAATCTCCACTCATAAGCGCTCACCCCTCGGTACTGTATATGGACATCCGGCCCAGGGAAGATCCATCCCGGAATATACATCACTGACCGCAGTCGTCCAATACCGAGGACACAGGCCAATCCAGCTTCACGGAGAAGATCCATCTCCCGGTATAATACTTCGGACAAGATCCATGTCCACGGAAGATCCATCCCTCAATATCATTATATGCGCTCATTGGGGGTGTAAAGAATCCGGAGGGGCTTCTCTCATTAGCCCAAGCGCTATAACAAAGCCAACAAAGGCTGTTCAATATCTCGCTGCGATGTGTAGCTCAATCTCATACTGTCACTCAATATCAGGCTCTCGGCCTCCCTCAGTCATAACTCACCAGTCTCACACACAGGCTCCAAATGTCATGATACGAGCCCGGTCAACAATAAGATGTGACAAATAGTAATAATCGAGACTTAGACATGATATAATATGTATGAAAAGGACTAAGCACAGAATATCAGTAAAATAAATTATATGACAGCAGGAAATGACCTCTTAGGTCTCAATAATATCGGCGTGAAGCCTTAACATGATTATCAACATGATTTACAGCTCAAAAACTAGATCACATAATTACAGCACAGATATCGGTAAGAAAGAACCATTTAAGCGGTGTTCTGGAATGATCCATGCCGCGTTTTTCCATGGTGCACGCCCATACGCCCGTCACTTGGCATAGCGTCACCTTCATAATAATCATAGAACACATAGTTCGGGGTTTCGAACCCGCAGAACCAAGATTCGAAGCGTTACTTACCTCAAGCCAAGCCAAACTCTAGCCCGCGACGCCCTTTCCTCTCGATTCGGCCTCAAAATGCCTCGAATCTAACCAAAATCAGTTCATAACCATCAATATATGCTAGAGGAGTGAAACTCATACGAAATTAATCAATTACAACACAAATCCCAAAATTGGCCAAACCCGATCCCCGGGCCCACATTTTGGAATTTTTACATCAATGGAATTCTTATTCCCCCACGAGTTCATTCATACCAAAAATACCAAAATCCGATCACAAATGACCCCTCAAATCCCTAATTTTAGGCCTCCAATTTTCTAAGCCCTAACCCCCAATTTGCTACTGATTTTCCCATAGATTTCAAGCTTACAACCTTAAAAATCATCATAAAAACGAGTTTAGGGACCAAGGACATTACCTCTAAGAAACCCTCTTGAATTCTCCCTTCAATTTGCTCTCCAAAGCTTCTTTCCATTTGAAATGTTATGAAAAATATACCCAAATTCGCGAAGGGAACCTTTTATACTTTCTGGCCCAGGCTTTTCGCACCTGCGGTCCCTACACCGCACCTGCGGCCAAAGCACCGTATCTGCGGTTTTCACTTAAAACCAACATTCCGCATCTACGCCTCACCTTTCGCATCTGCAATCTCGCAGGTGCGACCAATTATCCGCACCTGCGCTTCATCCCTTCACACCAACTTCCGCATCTGCGACTAGCCTTCCGCTTCTGCGGTCGCTCACCTGCGGTCCCCAAGTCGAAGGTGTGGTTATGACAGTGGTTGAGCAGCTTCAACTGCAAATCTCAAACACCAAATCTCCCGTCAACCATCCGAAATCACCCCTCGGAACCTCAACCAAAAGCATGAGCAAGTCATATGCCACCTTCCAAACTTGTACCAATCTTCAAAACACCTAAAAAAATATCGAAACATCAAATTAACCACGGATTCAAGCCTAAGAACTCTAAAACTTCCGAATTCCGCTTTTGATCAGAAGTCTATCAAACCTCGCCCGAATGACCTGAAATTTTGCACACACGTCTCATATGACACAACAGACCTACTGTAACTCCCAGAATTCCATTCCGACCCCTATACAAAATCTCCGCTATCAACCGAAAAACGCCAAAAATCCATTTTCGCCAATTCAAGCCTAAATCTATTCCGGACCTCCAAAACAGATTCTGATCACGCTCCTAAGTCCCAAATCACCTCCCGAAGCTATCCGAATAAAAAAAATCCAAATTCCGGGATCGTTTGCTCACCAGTCAACTTCCAGTTGACTTTTCCAACTAAAGGCCAACTTAAGAGACTAAGTGTCTCAAACCTTCCCAAAACCATTCCCGATTCGAACCGACTGACCCGATGCCACATAACACGGATAAACAAAGCATAAAGAAGCAAAAATGGGAGAAACGGTGCGGTAACTCATGAAACGACCGGCCAGGTCGTTACCGAAATGACATATAACAACAATCCAAACAAGCTGTTAATACTAAAAATAGCCGATCCGTATATGATATATGTATATATATATATATATATATATATATATATATATATATATATATATATATATATATATATATATATATATATATCGGCTAGGAAAAGTAAACAATAGATTCAACCAACTCTTCCTATAATGATTCCATTTTTTTGCAATTTAGTTAGAAGCCCAACTCTGTTTTTTTCGCCTTAGCCAGTTTTGATATAGAAGCCCACACCAGTAGGTCTTATCGCCCAACCCTAAATCTTTCCTCCCTTTTTTCCTTGCAAAAACGACTTCATTGTCTTCACTCCAAATCAAAATTTGACATGTGCGCAAAAACAAGTTCAGAATCTTCAGCCAGTTAACTCCCAAAGCTAAAACCCAACCAAAACCCTCGCCTCTTTCCACCATCGTGCCAGCCGAATTCCTCAACCCTCCATTTACCTTATCCTCTGTTCAAGGGCGGCTCCGTAAAATTGGTGGCCTAAAGCAAAATTTTAATAAGAGGCCTTATACTTTTTTTTATTAGTACGTATACACACATATATGCAAAAAAATTAATCTTGCCATTTTTTTCATACTTGTTGTTTCTCGCATATATTCTTAAATAACATAAAGTCTTTAACTTCACATAGTAATATTATTATTTATATTAGAATAGAAAAAATTAACTAAATGAGATATTAGACATGTATTTGTAATATGTTACCTTTGATATTGTTGTAAAAAATATATTTACTAATATAAAGATTTAAATAGTTTAATTCAAAATCTTAAAAATATTTTTACTGTTTAAATGTGGACACCTTTCTTTCTTTTTTACAATTTTTTTTGTACTTTTTATATTTTTTCTATAAACATTAATATTGTCTAATTTGAAATAAAATTATGAAACCCATTATTAAATACTTTGGAGGACCTAAATCAAGGTTTTACTAGTCTCCTACTAGAATCACTTATCCGCCCCTGACATTCTCAATAAAATTTATAGAGTCTCACTTAAAATAAGGCAACTATGACAAGAGCATTAAAGACAACGAGTTTGTCATTCAGTTACCAAATGTGAATGAAACTGGTTGAACAATACGTTTATAGTGGGGCAGTAGTCTGTAAATAATTTTTGATTGTCAATGAGAGGCAGCTCAACAAAACTGGCGGCCTAAACCAAAATATATTAAAAAGACCCTGAAACGTCGTTTATAAAATTCATATAATATTGAGACAAAAAAAAACCTACATGACTTAGATATAGTGGTGAGAGCACAGCTCATGATGTATGAGTTAGGCATTCCTCATATGGTATTGAATTCTTCCCTTAAGTGAAAATGGTAAAGGGTGAGCCCATTATTCATCATGTTTTGAACCTTGTGACATTTGCCTAGGGGATTTCTCAGTTAAAAAAAATGAGACACAAAAGAACATGCTTTCTGGTGTGTGGATCAATCAAATGTGACAAAAAAATTAGTTAATTTAGAGAATTGGAGTTGAAATTAGAAGTAAAATCGTAAGAACCATGAAAAAAGACTATACATAAAGAAAGAAAAATAAAATTTATGAGAAGGTAAATATATTATTTAATTTAGTGAAAATCTTTTTTCCAATTAATTCACTCAATCTTACGTCTACCAAATGTTAAAAATTATTAAAATTTGAAATCTTTTATTAATAATTATTTAAATATAAATTATGGAGTATATATTATATAATAATATAATACTAGTAATTTTTATTTTTGGGGCCTTAATTATTTGGGGCATAAGGCAAGGGCTTCACTTGCCTTACCCTAGAGCCGCCCTTGCCTCTGTTTCCACCTTCACTGAAGTTATCAGAAAATATGAACAAAGTAGAAGAAAGAGCAGCAGAGGAGGAAGAAGAGGAGCAGAGCTTCGAGGAATTAGGAGTTGATCCTCGTCTCATCCGTGCCTTAACCAAGAAATCTATCCTTAAACCTACCCCTATTCAGCGTGTTGCTATTCCCCTTATCCTCGTAAGTTTATTACTCCTACAATACTTACATATTCATATCTTCACAATTTTACTGATATCACTGGCTCTTTTTTTTTTTTTTAGGAAGGGAAAGATGTGGTTGCCCGAGCTAAGACTGGTTCTGGAAAGACCTTTGCTTATCTCCTTCCTTTACTTCAGAAGCTCTTTACTACTCAGTCACCTTCAACCAAGAATCTTGCACCCACTGCTTTAATTCTTGTACCCACTAGGGAATTGTGCCAACAGGTGAAAATTTGCTGCTTTTATTTTGGGAAAATTTAATTTTCTTTGAAGTTTGTGTGTATGTTTTATTTGAGTTTATTGGTTCAGGTTTGTTCAGAGGCCAATTCGTTGATTGAACTATGTAGAGTGCAATTGAGACTTGTTCAATTGACTAGCTCCATGTCTGTTTCTGAATTGGTTGGTTCTTTTATTCACTATTGTTTTGCTGATTATTACTATTAGTTTCTGATCTTTTTATGTATATGTGATAAAATGGTGTGGAGATGGTAAATTTATGAACTTTTTGTTTCAGAAAACTACGTTGGCGGGGCCTCCTGAAATTGTTATATCTACTCCTGCTTGTATACAGACATGCTTGAAGAATGGAATTATTCAAGCAAAAGCTGTTCAGGATTCTCTCTCCATTCTCATTCTCGATGAGGTGGGTTAGTTTACATAATAAACTTTGTTCCTTGGAACTTCCTCTAGTTGCAAAAATACTTTTTACTGTTATGAGATACTAGCATATAATGAGTTGCATTGCTCAAAATCTCAAAAATTCCACTGTAAAGGTTGGACAGTAGTAATGCGATAAGTCTTCTAAGTGTAACCGCACATTGTCTGTATTTGTTTGAAATGACATGAGGTTGATAATTATGTTTTCTGTATCAGGCAGATCTTCTTTTGTCATACGGATATGAAGATGATCTGAAAGCTCTTACATCTCACGTACCAAGACGTTGCCAGTGCCTTCTGATGTCTGCAACCTCAAGGTATGCTCGCCTTACTCCATCGGCGCATATATTATAAGCAAATTCTTGCATTCCTTAAATGCTGCATATATTGATTTTATCCATCAGAAAGTTCTTGACTTCTTTTCTCCTTCACTTTTACCATCTCACTTCCCACCTTTGCCCCCCTGCCGGAAGGTTTCGGTATGAAGTATGAACTTATTTAATCATGTTAACTTTGCAGTTCTGACGTTGAAAAGCTGAAAAAGCTTATTTTACACAATCCCTACATCTTAACTTTGCCTGAAGTCGGTGACACAAAGGATGACATTATACCAAAAAATGTTCAGCAATTTTATGTAAGTATACAACTTCAATAGTTCTTTTAACTGACTTAGTGTTCTGTCCTTTGTTCAGCATTTTTACATTAAGAATTTTGATAGGAGAGCTTTTGAAGGTGCAAAATGAATTATGTACAGTTGAGGAGTAGCCTCTTATCCCTTATTTCCTCTTGGTGCACACATGAGATCCCTGTATGTATAGAAGACTGTGGCTTTTGTAGAAAATCATTTCTTTTTGTAAGTTTTTCCATTTACTGATTCGTAATCTGTCCTTTCTTCAACAGTTTACATTAAGAATTTAGGTGCCTTTAATTGTTATTTATCATCTGATAGATATGTTTAAATTCGGTACTATGATCCTCATACTTTTGGCTTCTGTAATACTGACTAAGAAGCCGCAGCTTCTGTTGTAATGCGTGGATTTAGGATACGTCTACAATGCTAAATTATCATACATGTTCAATCATCACACAGTTTTCAGCCACTTTTGGTGGATAAGTGCCACATTTTGACACTAATTTCCAGTAGGCAGTGGCACTGCTGTCCTCTACAGGACTTTATTGTGTTCTAGACATCTCATTAAAACAAATACACCTCAACATCTGTGTGTTTTTTGTTGTTGTAATGTTGTTTTCTTTTATAGCTTTATTGTCTCTGACAAACTTTTACTGTTTGTTCAGATTTCTTGTGCTGCTCGTGATAAGCTTGTCCATATCCTTGCCCTCTTGAAGCTAGAGTTGGTTCAGAAAAAAGTGCTGATATTTACAAATTCAATTGACATGAGTTTTAGACTCAAACTATTCTTTGAGCAGGTATATTCATGTACGAGGTGCCACTAATTATGATAGGACTTGTTATCAATATATAAATGCTTTACTAAGTAAAATATCACTTTTATCTTCTTGTACCTCTTTTAGAAAGCACTAAAACTCTTTATTGCTTGAAACTTATTTTCTTCTCTATTATTATTATATTAACTTTTTTTCAAAAGCACCTCTCTTTAGGAATCATGAAGTTAGTTCTATTATACCTCCCGGTCTGTGGATGGTGCACCACATAGAGGGGAGTGCTTTTTAGTTTGTGCTCGGTCATACACTCATAGTTGAAAGTTTTAGGGAATCGTGGATGCGCTGGATGTGCAAAAGTGTATATTTTGCTTGTACAAAACCCAATTGCCTCTATTTTAACTATTTCCTAGAAGGCTACATCTTACGACCTGTAATCTTCTGCTTGTATGTTATTAACTTATTGGTCTATGTTTCAGATGCTATACTTACGGCTGGCCTGAGGTGTTCCTGATAGTATTTTTAACATCGGTGTTCATTTTTGGCAGTTTGGGATCAAGTCTGCAGTATTAAATGCGGAGCTGCCTCAGAGTTCTCGTCTGCACATCCTTGAGGTCTGTTATATGAGTGTTGAATGCCAAGAAATGCACACCCTTTGTATGGTTTTTGTTATTGTTCACTCCTTCTCTCTGAAGTCTAATGTTGCATCTAATTTTCTTCTTTTATATCAGGAATTCAATGCTGGGCTATTTGATTACTTGATTGCGACTGATGAAAGTCAATCAGAAGGAAAGGAACAGGTCGATGATCAAAATGGCAATGAGCGGAAGAAATCGAAGAAACACCGAAAACATAAATTGGATGCAGAGTTTGGCGTGGTTAGAGGGATAGACTTCAAAAATGTGTATACTGTAAGTTTGTTGTGTTCTTTGTGGAATCTTGTCCTCTATTTGGCAGCTGATGTTCTTTTTCTTTTATCATTTCCCCTTGAGCCATTTAGTGATAGAGGATATACTCCCAGTATCTGCTCTTTCATAGACCTAATACTCCACATTCTCTCTGTGGCTTATTTTGAACAGGTGATAAATTTTGAGATGCCTCAAACAGCTGCAGGCTATGTACATCGAATTGGACGTACTGGAAGAGCATATAATACTGGAGCATCTGTCTCTCTTGTGAGTACATTGAAGGCATAGCTGAAATTATTGATGCACAATTGCGATTTCTAGAATATAATCTAGTTGACAACTTCTGGATATCAGATTTTAGATTATGTGTTTAAATGTTGTTTAGTTTTAAGTGTTAAACTGCTGATTTATATATAATTTAGCTCTTGGCATTAACAAATAAGCTGAAGTTCTTATTTTGTACTATCGTTGAATTTACTTTTCATTGGAGGGATCCATGAGTTTGTAGAGTTAATGATCTGTTTTCGTACATTTTCTGTAACATTACTTATTCTTCTTTTCCTACGAATTTTCATATGAGGAATGCAGTAGAGAACTATATGTTTTCTACCTTAGTAACCATATCTTTATTCTGCTACAGGTATCTGCTGAAGAGACAGAAATGTTTGAAGAGATTAAATCCTTACTTGGGGAAAATGATGATAAGGTGTCACAGTTTATTGCCCCATTCCCGTTGCTGAGTAAGAACGCAGTGGAGTCTTTGCGTTACCGAGCCGAGGTAAAAGTTTCATCAATTATACTTGTATTGGAAGACGGTTCAGTAGTCATTGTGTGATAAGTATCAATTGGGAGTCTTGCAGAGTTAGGAGAGTGTCACCTAGTCCCAGTTGCAGTGAGCTTCGTGGAACTGAGGTTATCAAGGGGGGAGTGTCTTACGAGATATATGTGGCTTCCTGCTTTAGTTATCTTGAGTACGCTTTTGGGAAAAGAAACAAACAAATATTGTGATGTTTCATTCAGTTTTAGAACTGCTTAACTAGTGAAGTTTATTGGTTAAAAGCATAAACGATTTGGAGTTATTGTCTTGATGTCCTTTAGATAAATGCAGCCCAGATGCTCCAAGCTGTAAGACAGTAGATTATTAGTAAGTCCATATTTTGTCAACTTCTTGATGCACAAGCATGCAAAGACTACACAGAAGATCCATGCAAGTAAAACTAGCTCGCGTGACTACTGAAAGCTTTTAGGAAGTTGGTTATAGCTACAGGCCCCTCACCCTTCCCACATCGCCAGGACAGTAGGAAGTTAAAAAAAGAACATTCAAAAGTTAGAAAGGAGTATACTTCGAATTCTATACTGGTGCAGTCTGCCGATATCCTTGTTTCAAAAGTCTAGATAGCTTGACTGGCATCTTTTATGTAGGATGTTGCAAGGAGTGTCACGAAAATTGCTGTAAGAGAATCACGGGCTCAGGATCTGAGGAACGAAATTCTTAATTCTGAAAAGTAAGCTACTCTTTTTTCCATGTTCTCCTCAGAATAGCTTATTTTCCTTTGCTTTTTGGTCACAGATATTCTTGCTTATTGGGGTTATTCTGACTAGTACTGAAAATATGGCCCTGATTCTTTTATTTAATTACCATGTTTTTCTGTCCAAGGATAATTGTCATGTTTCCATCCAAATAGGTGTTACTCCCTACTCATCCCATTCTTTTTTGATAAGGACCTCCTTATCCCATTCTTCATCACCTTAAGATGTTCTAAAATGTGATGAGATCTGATTGTACTGATTAAGACATCACTTGAATTGAAGTTCGTCCAGTTAAAAAAGGGGTGGTTTGGTGCCTACAAAAGGTTACGTGACTCTTGATTGTATGATGCATATCTGCTGAAAATTGTCAGTTTTCTTTGCCAGGAATTTCAAGATTTTAATACTCATACTTTATCAAATGAACCTGAATGGCTTATACTTTATCAACAGGTTTCAATGACTCATAATATGTAGAAGCTGCAGTAAAATATACTTGCGGGAAGAAGTTAAAATATTTGTCATCTGGTATTTGGCTGTATAGGCCCCTACTAGACTTATTATAGTGCGAGGATTAAAGGGTGCTAGAAAATAGTTGTTTGTTTGTTTGTTTGTTATTATTCTTCACCTACATTGTTAGGAGGCACTTCCCAAGTCTCTTCTTACTGTTGTATGATTTCTCCATTATATTTTACTATGCTTGACTTGAAATATTGATTAAGTGTTTTTTCCATCGGTCTTAATCAGGTTGAAGGCGCATTTTCAAGATAATCCAAAAGACTTAGGTAATTAAGCTGTAGTTTGTGGGATAATACTGTGAGTGAACACAATCATAGGACTCATTATATTCAAATGTTGTGGGCAGATCTTTTGAAGCATGATAAGATGTTAAGTAAGAAGGCACCTGCCCCACATCTACGTGATGTACCTGACTACCTGGTGGATCCAACAACACAGGAAGCTAGCAAGATTGTGAAGCTTGCTAGAGCTGCAATGGGCAATACTAATGCATCTCGCGGCAAAGGATCAAAGGGAAGGTTCCAAAGAAGCAGAGACCCTCTTAAAACATTTTCAGCTGAGGTATAACATCCGAACCTTTACTTGCACTAGCTGTAAGTGTTCGTGAATTTACATTCCTGTTTTATCTGTGTGCCACTATAAATTGAACTTAACATTTGGTCATTGTATACTAATACCACTATTGTAGTCATCAAAGTATGGTCTTAAGATGGTGTAAACAATTATACTGATTGTAGATAGGTAAAAAACCCGTATATGCTCTGATGTTTCAGTTCCTGATAGTTTCATTCATGTTTCTAGAAATAGGAATTGTTGTAGTCACAAACTAAAGATTCTACTGATCTTGTCTTGTCAACACGATGATATAGTCCTAATGGGTTCCTTGCTATGTCAAGGAACGTAAAACTTGTGGAATGCGGGTAAGTATTAGTCTATCATGTATCTTGATACTCTGTCCGAGTTATCAATGAAGTTTATTTCTTTCCTAATAATAATTATAAAATACCTTTAAGAGTGTTTTGGCAAAGTTATGTTTATTCATACAGATATGATCAGAGATTTACTTGGATCTTCTTCATCCTTTTGCTGAGTTTTCTAGTTACTTGTATTTATTATGTTTCTCACGATCAAAAATTAAGAAAAAAAATGAATAGATCTAATCACGATATCAGGTTCCTGAAGGAAAAGATTGTATAATCTTTTACTTTTAACCGCTACAGCTTCTGCCATAGCCTCTGCCCTTCGGGTGAGCACTCTGTGGTGCGCACGCACGGGGTAAATCCCCCATTGTGTAATAGCCTGCAAACCACACCGGGATGTAAACCGCACTAGGCAAGCTCTGTGCGATAGGCTCGACCCAGAAGGCATTGAGGGGGGATCGATCCCAGGTCATTTGTATGAATGACTGCCCTCCAAACCAACATGGCCATCCCCGAAGGGATGTTTTTGGTATTCTTGAGAACCAATATTTGCTATAACGATGTGGACTTGTACATTGGCCGGCGTTTGATTTGCAATATTACGAAAATCTGTTGAGGTATTTTATAAATAAAATGTCTTCTTTGATTGCAGGCACCGAAGCGAGCAGGAAAAGGTGGGATGAAGAGAAAGGCAAAAGATACTGATAATGGCCATAAATACAAAAAGAAACACTCTGCTTAAGTTTTTTAGTAAAGGGAATTTTGTAGTTTATTAGTATAATATTTGAATGAATTATTAATCATTTTTTTTTTTTGAATGCTTTCTCTGAGATACTATCAACCTTTGGTGCTTGCTCTCCCTCTGGCCTTGCTCTACCTCTGGCCTTGCTTCTCCAAGTTCTCCCCATACACCCAACCACCATTCAAGATCAATAATTTCAAATCACATGTACGTACAAGTTCACAAATTTCAATAAGAACATTTAACAGAAAATTTATTACTTGAAAAAATAATTTATAAATCAGAAAGCATCTTACACCATTTTCCTGGATACATCATGCCTCCATTTATTTTTCACTAGTAGTACACATGCACAAAAAAACAGTATCAAAAGCCTTATTTTATAAATTAAATTACCATGAGAGAGGAGGAATACTTTGTTCATTCCTAAAGAAATTTGTTGGATCAACTTTAGTCTTCACTTGCACCAATCTATCAAAATTGTTCTTGAAGTATTTCTCTCCCCAGATTTTTGCTTGAGTATAGCTTGTATTTCCTTTGTTGTTGACTCCCAAATCAAGATCTCTGTAGTTGAAATAAGCAGCTCTTGGAGAGTTTGATACATACTTAGCCATGTATCCATATAGCTTCTGAATCCAAGCTATATGTTTTTTAGAACTTTCCTTTTTTCCCCAAATCACCTCATAATGGATTGAGAATATATTTCCAGCTCTATGTGGGAAAGGGGTTTCAGATTCTGAGAAGTCATTCAACTTTCCTCCGTAAGGACTGAATTGCATTTCTCCTGAGTTTTCACCTACTTGGTTGAATAGTTTCCATATACCTTTGAGACCATTTATTGGAATAGGATGTTGCACATAGTCTGATTTTCGTTTGAAGTATCCCTTTTTATCTGTGATATTTCTGTTTAGTAACACGTCAAGTGATGTGCCCCTTGGGAAACCAAAAAAATATAGATTCGATCCAACTCATCTCAATGCAATCTTCTTTTGCCAACCCTAGTTCGGGGAAGCTCTTTTGCATTTCTTGGAGGAGTTCATCCACTCCTCCAACGAACATGCTACTGAAAGAGGCGTGGACAGTCCTTTAACCGCGCCGAAATGGAGATTCACTGCTCCTCAGGAAGAGTCTGAGGAGGAGATTGTCATCAACTTTGTCCGCGATATGTTGCCATTTGTAGATAAGTTGAGCTGCATTTTGTTCTAATGTTCGTGTCACGTTGAAGACCGTCACCTTTACTGGAATGTCAAGTAATTTCACCTTCCATGAAATAATGAGACCAAAGCTAGTCCCTCCACCTCCTCTAATAGCCCAAAAGAGGTTTTCCCCCATTGATTCTCGATCTTGGATTCGTCCATTGGCATCGATTAACTTAGCATCAATAATATTATCAGCAGCAGTACCGAATTTTCGAGACATCATTCCATAGCCTCCACCACTAAAGTGTCCTCCAACACCAACAGTAGGGCAAACCCCGGCAACAAAAGCTAGTGTTTTACTTTTCTCCGCGATTCTATAGTAAACTTCCCCTAAGGTCGCGCCAGCTTGAATCCAAGCAGTCTTGTTTTCGGTATCAATGGAGATTGATGTTAGGTTTCTAAGATCAATGATGACAAAAGGGGTTTCAGAAATATAGGAAAGGCCTTCATAGTCATGTCCACCGCTTCGAATTCTGATTTGTAGGCCATGTTTCTTGGAGCAATGTATAGCTGCCTGGATTTGAGATTCGTCTATAGGAGTGAAAATAATTGATGGTTTGAAGTCGGAGGTTATCCTTAGGTTACTTTCAAAAGAGTTCAAAATGGTGGAATATGATGAGTTTTTAGGTGTGTAGATGATTTGTGACATTGAATTTGAATTCATAGTTTTGTGAGAAAGGCATTCAAGAAAGTGATCATGGATACTTGCTGAGGTAAACCATGATGATGAAAGGCAAATTGAAATAAGAAAGAGAAAGATTTTTAACTTGTTGAAAGTTGTCATGATTTCTTGTTGCAAAGTTTGATAGTGAAATTGGAAACAAAAGAACTTCTATTTATAGTTTTGGCTTGAGAAAAAATTAAAGAAGCTTAGTTTCAAACCCTAAGACCACGTGGCACGTGGTATAGAATTTTAATGCTTTCACCTACCTCTTTCGTGTAACATTTCCTAATTTGTGGGAGAATTGTCAACTAATTTCTTTAGCTGTAAAAATAAAGTTGAAGTCTATCTGCATGCAGATATTCTTCTCTATTGATGTTAACCATGTAACCCTATTTTTTTCAGCAGAAACTAACACCCCTATAAGTGCTAATTAAAGAGAGTAGTAGCTGGACTGGTGTGTTCTTTCACTAAGTACTTGTTATTTTTAGATTCATTCGTTGTTTTAACAATCGTCATTTAGTTTACATACTTGTAAGCTAAATAAAAAAAAGAAATGAAAAATGATGGGGAGAAATAGTTGTTTTACCTTGGGACATACGTTCTTCCAAAGTGTAAATGTAAGTGCATTTTCCGTGCAAGAAAAGTATATCCATTTTAAAGACTGGTCATTTTTATTATTCATGAGTATAAAAGATGTTCACGCTTCCTCACGTTTTTTGGTCGTAACATATAAAAGTATTTAAATAGACTAATCTGAGAAATTTAACCTTACATATCTTCTAGATTTGATTAAGACACCTACTCTGATATAATTGCATAATATTGGAGTCACTTACCAGCCATAATGAGAATGCATTCTGGAGTACCTTTTGCTCTTTCTTTTCGTAAATTCCTTATTCAGTTGGTGAAGATCGTGTTATATCAAGAAAGAGGGAAACCCGAACATAAAAAAGATTTAAAAAAATTAAAAAAAATAAAAAGAACACCAAATTTTGACGTGAAAATCCTTCAAATTGAAGGTATAAACTACGGAATCACAAAGATGCAAAAAGTTTCACTATAACAATAAGAGGGTTACAAAAGTTCTCCAAATTGGCTATACAACAAGTGTCAAACACGGAGCAACAATAGCAACAAGAGCAATAACAAATCAATTGAAGAAAGAGGAGAAATCACAAAAATGAAGCTGTTGTTCGGGGCTCGAAATCGGATGCTACGAGCCTCCAAATTCGATCTCCGCCGTTTAAATTAAAGACTAAGATGTTAAGAACACTCGTTCAAAATTTCAGCGTTCGCGACTAGAGTATTTGTAAATATATTACATCGCTCTTAAATAAAAAAACTTATGTGAAAAAATTAACATTTCCTCTGCATTTAATGGATCAGAATATACGAACATAATGACTAAACAAATACTCAGTTCCTTAATTTTAACTTTTGTCCGACTTGACTTTTCAAAAGTCAAACTAAACCTTAAATAAAAGAACGCATTTTTATGAAAATTGATGGATTTCTTTTTTTGTGTCAAATTTCGTATATGAATATTGTCCCAAAAATAACTTTCACCATATCCACTGTGACATCTAAATGAAAAATATTGACAAAGTTTATGAGACAAATCTAATAATTCTATTAGATGCTATCTGATGGAAAATTATGTTCCACATGATCATAAATCCAATTTTCAACATATTATACATATCTCTACGGGTGAAAAATGAGAACGCAGAATATTCAAGACTTGTAATTGTGGTCCAACATACGTGCGTAAGTTTATGAGATAAAGCTAATAATTTTCTTAGATGCTATCTGATGGGACAAAAAATCCACATGATCATAAATCCTTTTTTCTCATATTATATACATATCTCTAAGGGTGAAAATGGAGGACGCAGAATATTTTTTTGGTGTAAAATAAATCTTATTATTCAATTATCCCAAACCAAACACATACAACGTTCATATCATTCTTTCTCCTATCCTTTCTGTTCTTAGGAATTGCCCTGAACTTCTAATCTATTAGGACTCTCTTTCTTGAAAGAATGGAAAAAGACTCCTAAAATGATTAAATCTCCTTAATATGTCTTTCCTTTTCTTGGAAGACAAGTTTTGCACATCCATAAATTAAGGATCTCTGCTTCTCACAAGAGCACAAAAAAAATCCACAATGTAGTCAGTAAAGAGTTTTGTTTAAGGGGAGATTTTTCTCTCGATAGTTTTTCTTCTTTTATATTAGCTTTATCATATGTAGATCAATTGACCAAACCATAATAAACTATTATGCTTAGTTAGTATATTTTTCTTTTGTCGTCTGATTTATCGTCCACCAAGCTTTGTATTATTAGTTTTCGCATGCACCATATTATTTCGATCCCAACAAGTGGTATCAGAGCCAATGGTTCAGAGTCAACGGTTGAATGAGGTTGAAGACAGAATCAATACGTGTTTAGATCAAGACGATAATGAAGATTTATTCAAAAAAAATTGAATATGATACTACATGTGAAGATAAATTTACAATCACAATTGTATTCAAAACGCCTGTTGCTGCATCTCTCTTTTTAACCCATATTTTGGCCACTTTTAACCAATGTCAGTTTTAAGTCATGCCTACTTGTAACGCATGAGTTCCAATGCCAGTTTTAACTCACGCTTCTTTTTAATGCGTGAGCTTCTTTTACCTCATGTATATTCTTAACACGCGGGCTCCTTTTAACTCATACTTGGGCTTCTTTTAACCAATACCAAGATTTTCAACCTATACCGATTTTTAATCATGGCAAGCAGCAGTGATGAAGATTATGTGAAGAAGGTGAATCAACTTTGTCAAGAAACTTCAAGCCAAGGGGAGATTGTTAGGAATTGCCCTGAATTTCTAATCTATTAGGACTCTCTTTCTTGAAGGAATGAAAAAAGACTCCTAAAATGATTAAATCTCTTTAATATGTCTTTTCTTTTCTTGGAAGACAAGTTTTGCACATCCATAAATTAAGGATCTCTGCTTCTCACAAGAGCACAAAAAAATATGCACAATGTAGTCAGTAAAGAGTTTTGTTTAAGGGGAGATTTTTCTCTTGATAGTTTTTCTTCTTTTATATTAGCTTTATCATATGTAGATCAATTACCAAACCATTATAAACTATTATGCTTAGTTTAGTATATTTTTCTTTTGTCGTCTGATTTATCGTCCACCAAGCTTTGTATTGTTAGTTTCCGCATGCACCATATTATTTCGATCCCAACAAGTGGTATCA